TCATAAAGTGAAAAAAAAAGCCCTTGAGGGAGTTTTAACATGGATGTTCAAGGGAAAAAAGTAACTAATTAAATAGAAGAAAACTTCACTTAGTAAAATGAAGCAATTATTTTATGCACGTTATATATATTATAGCTTATATGTATATAAAATCTTTCCATTTCTCAAAAATATATTCATGATATATAATGGATGGAGAATTTTTTATTTCTAAGGATAAAAATTGATATGTTTTCAGTTTAACCATCACTAAAGAAACATTATGTCCAAAAACCATTGAAGTTCTCCTTTAGAAAATATTTCCACTGCTATGAATAATGAAAGTAATGATTTCAACATTATAATGCATACTGTATTTTAAGAGATATGTTTATGTGTGACATGAACAGACTTTAACCCAGGACACAGAACCTCACTTGTCAACAAGAATTTTCTGGAAGAGAAGAGAAGACTGGCAGATTTTTTTCTAAGTACCAAGACTTACCTGTGAAGTCATCTGTGCACACAGTATTGATGAGGTGCTCTTTCAGATGGACCCAGCCCTCGGCCTCAGATCTCTGGTGAGTATCCTCAGTGTGATCACCTGCTTTTATTTAACGATTTCTCCTCCATGTTGGTTCTATAGGTATAAATTATTTGAATGTTTCATATGTCAAAAAGCCAAATCATTCCAGAAAGCTATGGATTATGCCTGCCATTTCGTGATCCATTTGTGTTATTAAACACCCACCCTCACTACTGTTCCTGAAATGCACCCACATAATCAGTAAATGGGAAACTGCACAAGTAAAGCGCCCAGATTCTTTTTCTCTTACACGCTAGGTTTGAATAGCAAAAGTCTTATGTGCCCAGGGCTTCAAGGTCCCTATAACTAGTAGAGTTAGGACAACGTACTTCATGAGTGCAGGTTAACAACCCCCAAAGATGTCCCTGTCTTAATCTCTGGAACCTGTGAATATGTTATGTTACGTGGCAAGGGGGAATGAAAGTTACAGATGGAATTGAGCTTGCAAATCAGTGGACCTTGAGAGTGGGGAGATGACCCTGGATTATGGGGGGGGGCAGTTTAATCACGGGTATCCTTAGAAATGAAAGAGGGAGGCAGGAGATCAGAATCAAAGAAGGAGATGTGACTGTAGATGAAGGGGCCAGAGGGATGCAGCAAGAGAGATGCAACTGGCCAATGCTGGCTTTGAGGCTGGAAGGGGCCCAGGAGCCAAGGCATGTGGGCAGCCTCTAGAATCTAGAGAAGACAAGGAATCAGATTCTCCCCCGGAGCCTCCAGAAGGAACGCAGCCCTGCCAACACCTTGAGGCTCACCGGTGAGATCCGTGTCAGACTTCTGACCTCCAGAACTGTATGGTCATAAATATGTGTTGCTATTTAAGCCACCAAGTTTGTTGGTAATGTATTCCAGCAGCAATAGGAAACCAATATGAGATTGTTAATTGCGACTAAAAAAGATGTTGGGAGTTAAGACAGGGAAATGTTAAATAGTGAAAAATATGACAAGTTTTGAAGATGATGAAGGTGTATTTATGGGCAGTGGAGGAAGAGAGGGTGGTAGGAAGGAGAGAGTTTATCTCAGAAATACAATCCACGCTTACTTATTTGGAGTGGACATAAAGGAAACTGCAAAGGAATCTTAATTGAGGATGATTTTTTAGAGAAAAAAAGGAAATGATCTTATTTTTTAATATCTACAGCAGGAAGAATAGCCTAGTGTAGGCTGGCGAGATGGTGACAGGGATTCAGACCTGACCTGAGCTGGTCCCCTTGCGGCCACTCTGCCTGCACCCTTCGGAGCATGTTATCCAACATTCTGAGTCACTTTGCTCTTCTGTAAAAGGCGGAAAAAACGTGCTGTGCCCGCAATTTTAATGAGGTTCTATAATGGAGGCGACAGCTATTATAAGATGCAACATATTCTATTTACAAATGTCCAAAGTGTTGAGAACTCATTTAACAAGCAGTAGTTGTAAATACACGTTCAACTTGATTTAAAACAGTTCATTCCCAGTGTTTAACACTTCCTTCATATGTTTCTCATAATTTACCTAGTTACTACACTGAAATGCCAGTGTACTGGCTAGTACAGGGATTATCCTGAAAATGGCTGGGCAGAAAGGACTTTAGTATGGGAGCCAGGAAGTATGGGCCAGACTCACCCCCATTGCCTCGTTCCTAGCCAGGAATGAGGTACACAGCTCTGTAAATTTCTGTAGTGTTTATCAGCCTCTCAGCACAAGAGGAAGGACTAGAGGGTGGAGAATGAAGGCTCAGTTAGGTTGCGAGGTTTCAGAGAGGAAAAAGCTCTATGCAGAACGAGGGACAAGGGCAGCAGAGAAATCACAGCCCAGGACTGAGCCCCAGTTCTCCTACTGTCCTTGGGGAGGATGTGACCTGAAGCTCCAGCCGCAGCAAGATGATGAATGCGGACGCTCTTTGACAAATATAGACCCTAGAAAACGTGTGCAAATATTTAGTGGTCTTTTTTTATTGCATCTCTCCTCTGTTAAAATGTTTGTAATAATGAAGTTACCACAGTCAGATTTCTGCCTCTCTTATAAGGCCCTGGACTACCTGACTTTTCTCTAACTATTCCATGTTATTTCCCTTCCCCTCCAAGCCATCCTCCTAGTCCAGTTAGGTTTCCTTCCATCCTCCCTCCTTCTAGTTGGTTCCACTGAATGGCATCTGGGATGCACTGGTCTCAGCAGTGTCCCTGAACAAAGCTGCCTCCTTCCCTGTCCCCTTTAGTTTTCATTCCAAGATTCCTCTCCCATCCACATCTCACCTTCAAAGTGTCCTCACGGTTTCCAGCACAGTGAGGACCACGCTAAAGGGGTTCAGTACCTATTTCTTGGCTAATTAAAAAGAAGAAAGATAATGCTGAAGAGAGAGGAAAACATTTATCTTGTCACTGATGACAAATCACCTGGTAGCAGCAGCCTGTTAGAAATAGAAAGAAGCTTTCTGTTCTTTTCTTTTTAAATTGGTTTCACATGAAAAGGAACAGTTCCAATTAATCTGCATTTTTATTTTTCTGTAGGTCACTTATACTTATTCTTTTTTCTGTACGACATGTTTATGGGGTAAGTACATTCATTAGCTCTGATTGTATGTTGAAAATTCACTTTATTGAATGCATAGTTCTGTTATAATTTCAAACAAATCACTCTCTGGGACTTAGTTTTCTCATTTATAGAATGGAGGGTTGGACTAAAGAAACTCTGAGGTATCTTTTATATTTTATAGTCAAGACTACTTACTGAATTGCCTAGGTATTGGAGATTATTTTATAGGTAACATAACCCTTTCTTAAAAATGTTTTTGGAAACAGGCAGGAGGCAGCTGGGTTATTTCAAGATGAAATCAAGAGGTATAAGATTAAATTTGAACATTCTAGTGCTGAAGAAAGATGAGCCTAGAACATTCTGTAATAAGCTGTCTTCCTTCTGCTTCCTTGAAAGAATCGAAGTTATTAAATCCAACCTCAGGTGTTTCTGAGAAATCCCATTATGGGCTGCCTGCAACTCAGATTGCTCTCGAGACAATGGAACTAGCTTAAATCCCTCTAGTGAACACATCTCTATCTGTCAGAACCCTCCAGCTTGGATTCGCCCAATCCAATTTCAGTAATTTCAGTTATCACAGGGCTTTTCTAAGCAAATCAAGATAGGAAGTTACCTTCTTTTTTTTTTAACCAGTTGGGAGCAGAAAAAACCTAAATCAAGGAATGAGGAGCCCTTGGTTCTTGGTTCTGCTGATGATTCAGCACTTAACCTATCCAAGACTTAGTTATCTCCTCTGTTAAGTAGGGGTAAGACTTGCCCAATTTAGTTCACATGCGTTTGAGACCATCGCCTGAAATAATGAGTGGAAACACACTGTGATATATACATGTATGTATTTTTTCTACTTCTACCTGATTTTTCTAAGTTCATTTTTGTATCATTCTTTTTTTCTATTATAAAAGTCTGCAGAGTCTTAAATTTTACTGCTTTTGTTTCTTATGTTCCATATGAGTAAATGTAATTCCTGAACAAAAGATTCTTCTATCCTGGACCCTCCTATCAGACTGTGGTAGGAATATGAAGAGATTCTAGAGATTTCACAGAGAGTGGCTATAGTTGGGCTTTAAAGGTAGCAATACAAATTGGTATAATATATACTTATTGACACAGGAATGTGTCTTTTTGAAATTTATCTTACATATTTATTTTGATTTATGCACAAAGATAAATATGTATAGGAATATTAGTTGCAGGGTAGCATTCAGTAGTGAAAGAAGAGAGCCACCTACATGACCATCAGTAAGGACTGGCTAAACAGGTTATGGTTCTTGGTCTGAAGGATAGCCACATTGCATGACTTCAGAGGGATTTTGAAGACTTAAAATTATGTGAAACAGCAAAGTACAGAGTGATAAGCCATTTGGGTAAAAATAAAACAAGTTCGAAATCACCGAAAGAGAGTGTATGTGTGTGTGTGTATGTGCACACATTGGTGCACATGTGCTCATGTGCCTGTTGCCCATGTGCGTGTGTGATCATTGTGTGAATTTTGCTTATTAATGACCAAATACAAAGTTGAAAAAAAGGCCCTATATGGGAGGGATCTTGGGACCAGGGTTGGCAGAGAAAATTTCTTCTCCTATTATACTCTTTTGCACTATTTGAAATTTTTAAAAATCATGTGTCTGTATTATTTGTTTTTCAAAAAAGAAAATAGAGGCACAAATGTAGGACAGATTATTAATCTTCTGGAAATTAAGAACTTCTTCTTTTGAACTTTCTGTGTGACAAATATTTGTTTAAAAATATTTGAGATAAGCAGGTAGTGACTTTTCCTTTCTTCTCTTTGAAGAGGGTAAGTTTTTGAGAGTGTAAGCGTCTGCCCAGGGAATGTGGTTCATACTTTGAATGTGTAGTCGTCTGAGGTATTGTCTTTATCTTTTTTAATGGGTTTATATGATCTATCTTTGAGGTGCAGACTCTGCCTGTATAAATTCACCTTCCGCTTTTAAATGTCTATTGGGGAATGCTAATGTGGAAGAACTTTTTAGAGGCTAAAATCAACTCTTGCTTTTTTCTTTTACTGGCCTAACTCAAAGCTTTATATGTGACTATTCCTGTTTCTTTACTAGAATCTGCTAATCCGTTTTAAATGGATTCTTCCCTGAAATGTAATTTTGCTGCAAACATCTCAGTGATGCTTAGAAAAAATAAACACACACACACACACACACACAAAAACCCCAAACAAACAAAAAAGAAAACCCAACTTGCCCTTGTTATCAAGCCATCTAATCAACTGAACTTTTTTCCTCTGGTTGCTATGATATTTCAGTGAACACATAGTAATGAAGCCCAACCCTAAATGAACCCAAGTATTCAGGCTAGTCACTTCAAGTGCTTTCATGCTGTCCTGACCTGGCCCCATGTATTTAATTTTTTTAACCTTATCAGGGTTTTGAACTTAATATTTCTGCATTTGTAGATAACAATGTTACTCAAAACTCAAGAGGCATATATTTCTGAAACTCCAAATACATATTTTATCTTAAATTATCTAATTGCTTGGCTCTTGTCAAGCTTTAAATTCTTATATACTTTTAATGATTCATGAGAATTTTGTTTATAAAGATGTCTTTTTAAAATTAATGCTTAAAGACAGTTTCTTTTGGATTGTGTCTGAACATATTTTTCTTCAAAAAAAGTATAAATTGTGTGATCGAAAAGAAAAAACATGCTGGATAGACTCCTTACCATATATATATACATGCATATGTGTATATTCATATTTATTCACATGTACCTATGCACATATATGTGCACGTATATGCACATATATACATATGTATATATGTTTATGTATATGTATATATGTCTTGTATATATGAGAACTATAAATATTGTTTCAGTTGTTTTATGTTTTCCCATTATACATTGGACTAAAGGCTTAAGTTTACAGCCTTAAGTTTGAAAATGTCTGTTACTTATAAAAATGCGTGATTAACGTGTAAATGGTGCAGTGAGGGCTGGACTAGGCAAGACCACGAACCAGGCAAAGTTTATTTCTGATGCCTTCTTGATCTTCCTAGCCATGTTCTCAGGCCAGCACCAAGGGCTGCTTTTACCACCATGCAGGGGCCTCAACCAGCCCCCCTTCCCGGTCTTCAGCCCCACCTGTGAGAGAGCGCTCAGTGCCCATCGCATCGCGCTGGTGCGGGTGCCTCACGGGCTCTGCGTGTCGCTGAGGGATCCACGTGTGGACATACTTACTCTGGGACCGTACTTTTACACTGAAGTGTCTGATGACTCTGGGTATAGATGATGCGGATTCATGAGGACCAAGTGCCGATTCTTCCCTAAAGGCACTTGTGTGTGTGTGTGTGTGTGTGTGTGTGTGTCAGGGTAGCGGTGACTCTTCAGAGAGTGTTGAAGAAAAGTTAGCTAAAAGTGGGAAAAGGGCTCAAATGATGCAAGTTCAGGAGCTTTCTGGTTGAGAAACACATTAGAGAAAACATCTTGGAGTCTCAGCAGGTTGTAGAAAGACCAATTTGAATCTGAGGCCCAAGGCTGCAATTAGAGAATTTTCCCAGGAAGGACGATCTGATGAGGGAGACATGCCAGTGCTGATCTTGGAGGGAAAGCAAAGGGTCCTGAAAAAAAAAATCCAAGCTTTTCATTGAAAGTAGACCCCGCTGTGTACTCATGGCTTGCCTGACTACACAGTTTACACTGTAAGATTGTTCACAACTTAGTAAATTAAGTCTTACCAGGAGAGACAAATTGCAGAAGATTCTAGTTAAAGCAAAATGGCTTTAGAAGGAGGCCTTTTCCCCCTCCAGTGTCCTCGGTTTTGAAAGCTTCTTACTCATATAATCAACCCTCCTTTTTATTAAGATGCGACATCAATTCTTCAACTTTTTACATATTAATATTAGTCTGTTCTTCTCATGGATTCAATGGTAATGTATGCTTGGAATTCTCACGAGTTAGGGAGACCAAGAGTGCTTGTTATAATGTACATATTATGTACCCAAATGAGTGATGTGCCTGATATACTGAATAAGATGTTTCACTTTCCAGAGTGGAAAGGAATACATTGGTCCCTGCGGAGGAAGAGATTGCTCCGTTTGCCAGTGCTTTCCTCAGAAAGGGTCTCGGGTAAGTGATGTAAACACCAACATGGGCAGTACACCTCAATCTTGAGCCACTGTGAGTATTTGACATCAAGCCATCCCAGACCTTTAGCATGTTTTGGTCATCGGTAATGTTTATATTTTTTTACAATCAAAGCTTTTCACATTCTTGCAAACATTCCCAATTACAGTTGACTGTGTGTCGGGCTTAGAAGACAGTCTAGGAAGCAGTGATTCACCTAATGTTTTATATGACACTAGTCTTATAAATTGGCCTATGAAGAAAGGGTCCTGGTGTCAAATGGTGCATACTGGGTCACCATCTTGATATATCAGCATATCGATGGCTCTGAGAAGTACTGCAGTAAGTGGGGAAAAAAAACTATTTAACTTTGTTTAGTCTTTCCAGACATTTGACCACAGGACTTTTTTTTTTGGATGGTATCTATTGAAACATGTGGAATAGTGTTCTAATTGAAGAAATAGCTACATTTATTGCATGCTTGTTATGCGCCAGGCACTGTTCTATGCACTCAAAATGCTTTAGCTCATTATCTTCTCACAACAATCATTTTACCATACCATGTTTTTTTACCGCATGAGACTGAAGCACAGAGCTGGTTAGTGTCTTGCTCAAGTCCCTCCAGAACAGAGCTCTTGAGAACTATGCTTGATTCTCTGTTCTTCAAAGCACAAGAACTCTCTTGATTACTGTCTATCAGGTCTCTTGAACATTTATTAACATCTCCCCTATGTTCTGACAGTAGCAGTTGGCAGCCCGTTAATTTGTTTGTGATGAAGTATTAGATCAAACAATTCTTTAATTAAAATGACTCCCACAATTTCACAAAAAAAAAGAGTGTGCTTTAGAAGGTTTGGCCAATTTTTGAGTCAGATCAATGATTCTTTTGAAATATCTCTTAATCCATTCAGGCTGCTATAACGCAATACCATAGACTGGGTGGCTTAAACAACAGAAATTTATTTCTTACACACTTCTGGAGGCTGGGACGTCCGAGGTCAAGGTGCCAGCAGATTTAGTGTCTGATGAGGGCCCTTTTCCTGGCTTGCAGGTGGCTGTCTTCTCATTGTATTCTTGCATGGTAGAGAGAAAGAGCTCTCTGGGGTCCCATTTTTAGGGGCACCAACCCCATTTCTGAGACCTCCGCTCTGATGACGTAATTACCTCCCAAAGACCCCAGTTCCTAATACTATGACACTGGAGGTTAGGATTTCAATATATCAGTTTTTTTGGGGGGGGAGGGGATATTCAATCCATAACAGTGTCCAAATCAATCCTACAGCGTTGTGCCTGACATTCAAAAAGCACAATTCAGTAAAGAGCAGTCTAGGAGGATGTAAAATGTTACCTTCCTGAAAGAAGGGACCATGTATTTTCCCCACTGTATTGATTCATCCTCACACAGTAGGTGCAATATGTGTGGGGATCCTTTGCTGAGTTGTTTTACTATAAGAAGCTACCTTATTGAGTATAGGTTATGGCAAACCCCTTGATGCTTACACTGTTTTGTTTCTTCTTCCATACATCAAAAATTTCGGTCATCAGAATTTATCTTGAGCTTTTTCCATCCACCTTCACAATATAATTTAAAAAGTGAAACTGCAAGGAAACAAAGTTAGGACAGTAAAACCTAGCAATCTAAGAAGTGCTTTAGCGTTTCCATGTAAATGTACAAATTATTTAGAAAAAAATCCTGGCCTTTTTGTGAGGTTATTAATATAAACATACCAAGACTGTACACATGCAAAAAGAAAAAAAAACCAAAAACCTCACCTTTGAGCTCGAGACCCAAGAGAAACACATTTGATCAGCTCTGTGGCAGGAAGAGAATGGGAGACCACAAGACTAAGAGGACCAGTTGCTTTGATAAGACCAGCTTGGTTGGTCTCCCAATTTAAATGAGGCTGAGAGTTGTTTAACAGCAGTGCTGTGGGCCTTTACAAACTTCAGTCCCTCTAATTCAGTGATTTTCAGCTGCGGGTAAATTTGCCTCTTCCCCGGGGGACACTTGGCAATGTCCAGAGACATTTTTGGTTTCCACAACTGGGTTGAGAGGGTGCTACTGGTTTCTAGTGGGTAGATGCCACTACATCTTTTACAATGCACAGGACAGCCTGCACACCAAAGAATTATCCATCCCCAAATGACAACTGTGCCAAGACCAAGAAGCCCTGTTCTACTCCCACAACAGCTCTGTGAGGCAGGTATTATTATTATTTCCATCTGCCAATACTGGAATCCTGAATTCCCAAGAGTTCTAAATATCTTGCTAGGATGTAGAGGAGCCAAGAACCACACCCCAGTGTCTGGCTTCAACAGCCTCATTTGCTCCACAATCGTGGAAAGACGATTACACTAAGGTTCCAACAGCTGGGTTTTAGCATCACTTTGGGAACTCGGGTGGGCACTTCACTCTGACCAAGCCTCAGTTTCCTCATATTTACCCCATTGGCCCTTCTCTTCTATTTCTTTGGGCTGTTAAACAGGCACAAGCCATTGCACGATAAAGCATCTCTGCATGATGAAGGCTCCAGGACTGGGCTGTGCTCTGCTGTGTGTGTGTCCCTGTTTCTGGGTGGTCAGGGAGAGCTGTGTGTGCAACACCAGGGAACCTCTGCCCTTCCTGAGATGGATGGCTTCCCCATGGGAAGGCTGTGAGACTGAACACATTTTCTAGCTGAGAATTTGGGAGCATGGGCTGTGCATAATTGGGAGGTGGTTTGGGAGGATGGCACTCTCGAGTCCTTAGCAGCCAGCAGCCAGCCAACCTTCTAGCTGCAGTGGCAGCTCCAGGTGGACGATAAAAATAAGAACACATCAAATTCCAGAGATTTGAGGAAGCTCCCTGAGGCTGTGCAGCCCATTCGTGGCATAGCTGGGAATTCCTAAGAAGGAAATTATTTCTTTGGGCTAACGCCCAAGTGGGTGGTTTGATCAAGCCCCACACCAAAACTGCTGTGTCTAACGCAACTGTGGACAGGCAAGGCTGGCCCTGTGCCATGGAGAATAAAGTCCAGCCTCATCAGTGTACCGTTTGGAGGCCCACAGGTCTAGTCTCTACTTGTGTTTTCATCTGTTATCCCTGTTACTGTCCCTTTGACCTCTCCTGCTACAGCAGATGGGCTGCTCCCTCCCTCCAGAAGACAGTCTGAGTATTCCCACTCCTCTACCCTCTCTGAATGCTGTCCCACTTCCACTCTGCCTCTGTCTCTCCTGCCCTTCCCAAAGGAGCTCAGCAGAGACGCACCCACAGGCCTTTCTGCCCGCCCAGCCAGTGCCGAGGTCTCCCTCATGGGACCCCCTGCAGGCTGTCACCTGGCTCTCTTCTGTTGCACTCTCCTGCCCTGCCCTATAGCTCTGGTTGGGCGTGAGTGTGGATGCGCCTGACTCTCTTGATTAGATTGCAAGCACACACTCCTCAAAGGGTGTCTCAAGAACACGAGTAAGAAGTTAATCTGATGCCTGACCCATAGTGGACCCTCTAGAAATGTAATTTGCCTACCTCTGTTTCTCCCCCCTGGGAACTAGGGCATCATTTTTTTTTTTTTGTACTTCTTTGAGATTATCACAGTAGATAGCACATATAGGCAGTTAATACACATAAATCAATACATTAAAATTCAAGCTCCATCCTGGACAGAATTTGGGAGCCTGAGCTGGTGGCCAGGCCACCATGCAGGGGACCTGTAGGGGTGCCTGCCGTACCCAAGAGAAGGTCTTTCTCCCCTCACACTGGCATTTAAGCCTGTTATGAAATGAGTAATCTCACATAGTTCAAATTCCCTTGTGAATTTTAGGTAGGGTCAGAAGTAAACACTTTGAGCGGCAGCAAAAATAAGACTGTCACTATGCTCAGATGTCTTAAAGGCACAATGGCAACCTGGAGAGAGCTCTGCTGAGGGTAGGAGATAGGAGCTCACCCCTTTGACCTTTTCTGGGTTCAGGGCCCTCACCTGGGAAATAAGGGTTTGTGGTAGGGGGCCGGTCTGTCCCTCTTAGCTCTGGTATCCTCCTGTGGTTCTCTGAAACAGGATGTTCACACATGACAGCTATTGAACTGGTTTCCAAAATGACTTGTGCCTAGGCCCTAACATTTCCCTGAACCTCTTAGTCCCTCTCTAAGGGTGTGAATGAGTGGCCTTGGGCAGGATTTTATATTATTCTTTGTCAGTTTCAGGGGAGGAAGCTCTCATGTATTTAATGGTTGTGTCCTTGCAGGGAAAATGACATATCCTTACAAACTAGGATGAGGGCCTTTTATAAGTTTTACTTAGTAACTAGGATAATAATAAAGACAACTTCTATAGTTTTTTTCCCAGAATAAAATAGATCCATATTGTTTTTCATTCAAGGGTGTTCAGCAATGGCGAAATCAACAAAACCTTGTGATGTGGTGGTTTTGCAAGCAAGGAGGTCAAATGGCTTAAAATTTAAGAACTGTCTTATAGTTTTTGGTTTGAAAACCAAAATCAAACATTAGGGAGTCACTCTTCCTTTTGGGAATTTCAAATCACTAAAAAAATGTGAAGTATTTTTCCTGCAATCTCCTTCATTCATCCCAGCATTCAATGATAAAAATGGAATTTACTTGGGAAATTTTAATTATTGTTAATGGTTTTCATTTCATTAAATTATTTGCACTCAGAGTTCTAGAACTCAATCTCTTTATCACTCACACAGCTGTGTTTTAGGACACTTTCTAACTGTAGCTGGATAAATGGTTCAGAGCAATAATTTGTACGTCCCAAAGTTCACGTAAGTTAATTATGTTCTATTTTGATGTAAACAAGTTCTAGTGACAACTGAAAGTTGGCAAAGTTGATCTGTCCCCAACCCCTGAGCTTTTGGTTTCAGCCTTTTTGTTTTTCTTGCCACATCTTTCTTCTCCAAGAACTCTCTGGCTTCTTGTGTGGCTGATGGAGAATTCTCTGATAAACGAAGTCCCTGTCTGAGGGGGCAAATCAGAAGCCTTTAGGAGACAGCAGGTAACCTGAGTTTGGGGC